ATCAGGGGACATATTGAAATACATTATCCAATAAACTTTTTCATTTTCAAATAGAGCTTATTGTTAGATAAATAACGCATATATGAGAAAAATGTCACGATTTATAAGTTATAATAAAATTAATGACACAAAAATTATAGAAAGTTCGGATAGGAAAGTGACAAAGGAAATACATATAAATGATATTTATTACATTGATGCATAGTTTCCATTTACGGAAATTCATCTCTGTTATGGAAATTACAGCGCTGTGTAAATGACATACTAAATGGCTTATGAAACAAGACAGTGAGTGTATCTAATAGAGATCTATTTGCTACTGGTTCGTAATTAGATATCGATTAATGAAATTGTTTGTGACATCAAACATTTTCATTAATCTCAGTTTTCTGTATCAAAAATTAATCTAATTAAAAAATCCTAATTAATAATTATATTTTCGTGCAGCAGTTTATTAGCTAAAATGTCTTTTGTATTTGTATATATTCAATTGTAAATTCGACTTTTGAATTTTTAACTTGGTGAGATCGAACTAGATAGAAAGAAAGAATTTAATCTAGCTCTAAATGAGTGACTCTAAAAATAATCATTACTGCGTTGATAACAACAGCAATGATTTCTATTTTCGGTATTTTTTCTCGAAGCAATAATTCATTATTTTCAGCATGCAGTTTTAGTGGGTAGTTAGGAAATCTTTGCAAATCATAGTACTTAATCCTCGCCTCGGTAACGTGATAGCACAATGCGAAATATTCATAATATGAGAGTCTTAATGCAAAACTATTCACAATATGAGGGTCTCAATGTTTCTGTCGACTTGTCAACTTTTTAATATGTCACAATCATTAGGTCCACATTAAGAAACTGTCTTACATCCATTTTACAATGACCAGGGATTACCACTCGGAGTAAATAACCGATATTTGGAATAAGACGTTAGCAATCTTTTAACTGCAGAAGAGTTTGAAGATTTATAGAACAGCGTATCAATTATGTTATTGTAAGTTTTTGTCCACTGGAGGATAGTTCTGTGAGAACCGAAATGTTTGGAAAATTTTTGTATGGCAAATTGTGAAAATAAAAATATAGTTGCACTGTCAGCGTACTAAGCTCATTGCCCCCTTTTATATATAGACACTCTGCTATTTCAAATTATAATTATTGAGCTTTGGAGATTTAGTTTGAATTTTTATTCAATATGTTTTAGATTTTAAAAGCGCTTTTTGTGTAATTGCATTCATGCATGAAACTGAAATATTCTTTTTTAACAAAAATGCGTCGAAGTGTAAATAGATTTTTAGTTTATTAAAAAAATACGTTTTCAAATATTTACGCTATGGAGATACAATTAAAAAAGTTTTAATATGTCTTAGCAAAAAGTGTTTATTTAATATAGCCAATAAGAGTGGATTTGAATAAAATTATAATTTTAGTGATTATAAAAATATTGGAACACTCTGTATAATTAATTGCTATTACCGTAAAAATACAAGATGTTTTCCTCCTGAGATGCGCAGTGTTGACCAATTAGAGAATTGCCACAAATACAAAAAGCAATATGGCTCCACCTACAAGAGTCGTCCGAAAAGTTTTGAACCTAACATAGAAACAAGTATTTTTTTAAGTCAAATTCAGTCTTATTTTTCGACATAGTCTCGTTTTAAGTTGATATACTTTTCCGGTTTCCCAGCGATGCTCTCACCCCTTTAACCCATTCAAATAATAGTTGGCGTCTTGCTCTGCAAAATAGATTTCTACAGATACGATGACCTGCTCGTTCGATAAAAATCTCTGTCCTCAAAACCAAACTTTAAGTCTAGGAAACAGGAAAAAGTCGTTGGGGGCAGATTTGGTGAATACGATGGGTGGTCAATCAATTCGAACTGTAATTCATGAATTTTTATCATGGCGACTGTCGAAGTATGAAACGGTGCGCCATCTTGATGGAACAGCACTTTCTTGTTCTCCAAATGCAGCTTCTTTTTGCAATTTCTGCCTTCAGCTTGTCAATCAATGATGTGTAGTACACCCCCGTTATATTTTTATCTTTTTCAAGATAGTCGATGAACACTATTCCAAAAAATAATCACCATCATCTTCTCGGCCGATGAAACCGTCTTCATCTTCTTCAAAGCAGATTCATCTTTCGCAGTCCACTGTTTTGATTGTTCCTTCGTCTCAGGAATGAAGTAGTGGATCCAAGTTTTATTAACAATTATTAATTTATATTTACGGCGCAAAAAATCCGACTCGTTTCGCTTAAACCGCTTCAACAGGGCCTTGGAAATGTTCATTCAAATGCGTTTTTGGTCCAGTGAGCAAGTGCGACATCCAACGCGCGGTTAGCTTATGCATGCCTAATTCTTCAGTCAATGTGGCTTTCCATTTACATCGATTCTCAGATAATTCTCGCGTATAACGTCATAACTCAATTGGATGCGCATTCCTTTTGCATTCCAACAAGTGAGATTCAACTATAAGTTTTTACTTATAAGATCGAGACCATGTGCTTTAGCAGAAAGCTATAATCTTAACATATTGTTTTATGACTTAAGTCTTAGGTTTTTAATAAGTCCGGATCTACAATAGGTGTTTTAAGCCTTAAGCCGTAAGAAATTGACCAATTACAGTCGAAGTGCGAGGAGAATAATCGATTGTGATTCGTCCATTTTTTATGGCTTAAGGTTTAAAAATCTGTTGTAGATCCGGGTTAACGCATAAGAACTATCTTATGACTTATGTCTTAAATACTATGCTAAGTAAACAAATTCAAGCCTATAACGATCGAAGCAGATCTTTCAACGCCTAAATAATTCAAAGTAAATTATATATATATTTACTTGCATATACAGGGTGTCTCAGAAATAGGATAGGAGCCGTATTAAAAAAGTATCCTGTGCTGGGGTGGAGATCCAGCTATTCTTATATATTTTGAGTCGTTGAATATGATTCCGACATCAAAACAGGACCATTCAAGGCAAATTTTCAATCTGGAGCGAAAAAATGGATCAAAAATGAGAAAAAATCGATCATTTTGTCGCTCTAGATTGAAAATATATCCTGGATAATCCTATTTTGATGTCAGATTCGTATTCAGCAACTCAAAATACATAAGAATAGCTGGGTTTCCACCCCAGCACAGGGTATTTTTTTTGTGGGCCTGTGTAATTATTAGTAGAATAAAGTCGCCTATTATGAGATACCTTTTTTTTAAAGGCTTGTAACTTATTTAATTTGTAACTTGAATTTCTATCTTTATGTCAAATTTATGAGAAATATATTTAAGTTTGATCGCCAAAAATTAACAGTCGATAATAGCTATGCTTGTTGTATGTGAAATTTTTAGTAAAAAATGCCGACTTTGATCATTTAAAAAAAGGATTCCTAATATGAGATATATATAATTATATAATTATATAAT